AAGGAATCTAATGGTAGAAGCGAAAAAGAGGCAAAGATGTTCCCTCCCAGTGAAGTTACAGTCTCAGAAATCCACAGGGGCAGGTCTGCCCTGTCCGAGTTTGAGCCCCTGGACTTGAATTTCTCCCACTGGCCACTAATTCTATGGGTCAAGTTTTGAATGTCCAGAAAACCCCATGTGAAAATACAAGTGCTCTGGGAGTTACAATAGCACCCGAATTCAGACGGCCTAATTGTGAGAAAAGAACTCCCCTTCTGCTCAGGGCACCCACTTACAACTAAGGCAAGGACTCCGGGGTGGGGAGAGTGGCCCTGATCCTCGGGTGTCTAATCCAATCAAAAGGTTCCTTTAAAAGGAGGCAGGAGAGTCTAAGTTTGAGATGTGAGGATTGAAGCAGAAATATGAGAAAGAGAGAAAGAGGCCCCTGAAGATGGTACACTGAGGGCTTTGAAGACAAGAAAGGAGACAAGAGCCGAGGCCTGTAGGTAGCCTCTGGGAGCTGGACATGGTGAGGCCCGCGATTCTTTCGTGCAGCCTCCAGAAAGAACACAACGGGAAATTGTGGGCACATTGTTTTCTAATGACTGCATACACAAGTGGGTAGCAGCAAGGACAAAAGATGAACATTAAAAAGCAGCCATTAAAATAGATGGGTCAACCATACAGAATATTTGGCTCATGGCAATTTAAAAAATGGCAGCTAGAGTTTGTCAATGGCCAAGATGCCTGAGTCATTATGAAATGCGTCAAGAGCCAAGTGGACTATCTCATCATCATTGCACTTCATTCTTTACAACAAATACTTCAAATACTCTAATCCAATAGTCAATTTATGTCCAGAGTTTCAATTAACAACATGCTGATCAGAAAGAAACTAACCTGGAATAATGCCACCAGAGACAGAATGAAGATCAGTCCTTTCTAAGGTGCCCTTCTTATGAGCCGAGAATATGGCATATGAAATCAAAGTTCATCTTGAAAGAATAACATGTCATAAGAACATTATAGCTGGTGACGTAAATAGGGTGAATTCGTTAAATGAATTGTTTTGATACTATTTTGCTGCCCAGATAAAATGTATTCATTAGGTTTCTACATAGTCATTGCTTTTACTTTGTAATCTGTAGTCCTCAAAAATATTTTTATTTCCTTTTTTAAAAAAATAAAGTCCATCCTTACAAAAAAAAAAAAAAAGAATGCAACCTATGACTTGGGGCTTCTGACCTCATGAACCTACAGTAACAACTGTGAGCTGTTTTAAGCCACTGGGTGATCATTTGTCAAGGAAATCGCGGGAAGCTAATGTGTTTGGCCAGAGGTCGATGTGAGGGGGAGCAGGGGACTGGTCATCACAAGGGTATCGTATGCTCACTTTGACATCAGGCAACTGAACTGACTACGACAGAGAGGAGCTCAAATATGAAGAACTCGCTGTGTGTGATAGCCGCGCAGGTCAGGGGTAGGACAGGTAGTGAGAGAGTGCTGTTTCTGAAGCCATTTCACCCCGCACAATATCCAAGAGCTGCAGTGACCAGAGAGCTCAGCCTTAGGGGTGAGTTTACTGCCACCGGGTAAGCGAAGAGCTACCCAGATGGAAGTGTGCTTTCTCAATGTGCCGAGTCACCTTCAACTACAAACCACAAAGCCTCCCGCATCTGGATGCCTTTTCCACTCTCGGCCTTATGAGTTGGGTTGCTAATCACAAGGTCATCAGTTCAAAACCACTGGCAGCTCTCTGGGAAAAAGAGGCATTCTACGCCTGTAAAAGTTACAGCCTCAGAAACCCACAGGGGCAGTTCTACCCTGCCCGCTTTGAGTCAGGATCTACTCAATGGCAGAGAGTTTGAGCCCCTGGACTTGAATTTGTACCACTGGCTACTAATTCTATGGATTAGATTTTGAATGTCCAGAAAAACCCCATGTGAAAATACAAGTGCTCTGGGAGCTACAACATTTCAAGCCAGGAATAAACAGGATTTCAGTCAGCTGGAAGTGACTTTCTATAACTCTGGGGTATCTTCCGGGATCAGGAATAAAGAATGCATGGTCAATTAGCTACCTTCAATGGGGCTGGAGAGAGCCATGCATTTTTGCCATCCTAATTTATAACAATTTTAATGGGTGTGATGATTCTGAAATGACGCTTGATTTCTATTCTACTATCAGTCAATGAAAAGGAAACCCTAGTGGCACAGTGGGTTATGTGTTGGATGGCTAGCCATAGGGTCAGCAGTTCGAAAGCACCAGTCACTCCAAGGGAGAACAATGAGACTTTGTGCTTCTGTAAAGGTTTACAGCAGTTTTGATTTGTTATTTAGGGTCACTATCAGAATGAGCTCAATGGCAGTGTATGTTTGATTGATCAGTAAATGAAGAAAACAAAATGTCAAAATGTCATCACAAGACAGGCAAAGAAAGAAAAGACCAACAAAATAATAATAATTTATAAATTATCAAGGGTTCATGAGGGAGGAGGGAGCGGAGAGGGAGGGGAAAAATGAGAGCTGATACCAAAGGCTCAACTAGAAAGAAAATGTTTTGAGAATGATGATGGCAACAAATGTACAAATGTGCTCGACACAATGGACGGATGGATGGATTGTGATAAGCGTTGTACGAGCCCCCAATAAAATGGTTTTAAAAAAACCCAAAAACATCACCACA